CGGGTGCTGGCGCTGCACCCCGACCCCTACGGCGCCTACAACTACCTGCCCTGGCAGAGGGGACCCCCCGGTGGCCCCCAGCAGGGAGCCGGAGACCTCTTTTACTCGGCCGAGATCGAGCTGCTGTGCGACCAGGCGTGGGGCAGCATGCTGGAGGTGCCCGCCGGCTCCCGCCTCAACCTCACCGGCCTCGGCTACTTCTCCTGCCACTCGCACACCGTCATGCAGGGCTACGCTTATTTCTTCTTCCTCCGGTGAGTCCGGGGTAGGGGGGTCCGGGGAGGGATTGGGATGTCGCATCCCGGCTCCGGGGCATCTCTGCGGGCGGGGGATGCGCGCCCGCTCCTGCCCGCAGGGTTGGCTCCGTCCCGCTGCCGCACTCCGCGCGGCGCCTTCTCCTTAGCGCTTCCACCCGCGGTTTCATAGGGAAAGAAAAACCCGAAACACCAAACTCCCAGAGTATTCCAGCACTGTCGGCCAGCACATGCACAGGGAGCTGCTGTTGAGTAGCTCGCGAGTGCTGCTGCTTTTGTTTTTACGGCGGGACGGTCACAGAGCTGGAGAGAAGCCAGCGCCTGTTTGCCGAAGTTTGGCATGGGAGTTTAAAACCCATTCCCAAATACTCACCCGATAGCTTTCCATCGACTCTCCCGAGTCCCAGCCAAACCCTGACTTTGGGCTCATCGAAAGAATAAGAAAATAAACCACAATGTGGGAACAGAGCCATCACCATGACCTTTTAATTCAAGAGCATTTGTGAAATACTGCTCAGTGGCTTATTTTGAAATACTTGGTATATCCTTACACTGGGTGCATAACAAAACTAATTTTGATGCTGTCTAGAGCTTAGTCTGCAGCAACATCTTTAAACACATTTTATTGACACAAGTTATTTATTGACTGCTTGAAGGAGTACTTAAACTCTGGGCTTAAGGGCAAAGTGATGCAAATTCAGTAGAAACTTTGGCCCAAAATACAGATTTTCCTCCTTCACCCTTTCCTTGGGGTTTCACAGGGTGGAAGGAGCCTGTTTGGTCCTTACTGCTGGTGCCTGATCTGGTCCTTGTGGTGGAAATAGTTATTTTGGTGACTTATGTGCTAGGAGAGCTGAGAGCCACTTGCTGGCTAAAAGTCTGTGTGACTTTTTGTTGAGCCACACTGAAGCATGACGGGTGACTTCTGCAGGAGAGAGAGTGCTGTTCATTCTCACAGTGGGCTGCCTTTGCAATCTGTGTTCCAGAATGGATGAGAACTACATTCTTCTGCCACATGGAGTCAACTTCCAGGAGGCAATTTTCCCTGATACCCAGGAGAATAGAAGGATGTTTGCCAGCCTTTTCCAGTTTTCAAACTGCTCGCAGGCACAGCATGTGCTGAGCTTCTCCAGTGACTGGGAGATTCAAGAGGACAACCGGGTAAGGGATTCATTTGCTTTCCAGTCCTTGTTTTCAAAGTGAGCACAAGCATTTCCATGTCCTTTGTGAACATATGTATATGAATGCAGAGCAGCAGGTCCCTGATTTTCCTATTCCTTGGGTAGTATCACTAGCAAAGTAACACACTGGTGAGGAAATATTAAACTGTTTTCAAAGTTGACCTCCACGTTAACCTCTTTAGCTTCCAGTGGATTTGAGCAAAGCTCAATATCAACTTGTTCATGAGCAATAGGTTGAAAATAGTATTACTTGTGATCCTGTCCTCCCCCACCCAGATCATTCCTGGGTTTGCTATCTCTAGACTTAATTTTTTTAATTTCAGCTGAAATGCTCAGGAGCAGATCTTTGCTTTTGAACTCCTGTGTTCATCTCATGTAGCGAGAGCAGTGCCTGGACCATGATAGACTGTAAGGGATTATTCTTGCTTGACTCCACATAACAGCATAAACATCTACTGAACTAATCGCCCTGAGCTGCCTTTGTAGCAGCTGGGGAAAAATAGACTCTTGAGGGCATGTTTTATGTGAGTGATGAGGGTAGAGTTCCTTTGAGTGATGCCAGCACTTACTTCTGAACAAGACAGATGAAATGTGTCTTTCTCCTTTCAAGGAAGGCCACAGAAAGCAGTTCACCCTCTTGGCAATCCTCCCTTAAGAACGTATGTAAAGTTAGTGCCAAACCTTGTTTTGTGAGGCTGGTGGTTTTCCCTGGTAGCTGGGAACATTTTAAGCACTTCTGTAGGTCAGGATGGACAGGACATGTATCATCACTTGTGTCTTCTGTGGATTCACCTGAGGTGTGATATTTATGTGTGACAGCAGATGTATGAGTGGCTTGTTTGGGAGATGGATGCAGAGAATTCAGTAAGTGGCTGAGCCTTTTCCTTTCACCACCTGGCCAAATGCCAGCATACACAGTTTGAGCTGCTGTGTGGCCATCTGGCCAGTGACACAGCTCCTCTCCTTGGGATGCCCCATCAGCAAGTGTTTTCTTGCTACTGATATTTTGGGGAGGGAGTGTGGAATGGTGCTGTCCAAATATATGTGAGGGAACAGCAGCAGAAATTGATGTTTAAGAGGAAATTAATTATCCTACAATTAAATTACAGAGCTGTAACCCTGTCTGGGCATGAAAGGGGAGGTGGAGAGCTCTGGTCCCAGCCCTGCCTCCTCCCTCCCACCTCCCCTGCTCCTCAGTTGTCCCTTGTTGCCACAAGCAACATACTTGGCAAGTAAAGGTGGTGCTGCTGCCAAATCCATGGATTTTTGTCCAGGGTAGCAAAGTGGCATTGGGGGACCACCAGATCCAACTGCTAGTGTCTGCTTGTGATGCCTCTGCACTGTTTATTTCATCATGCTGAGCTAAATGCAGGGGATCTTGATGGGCTGGTGTTCCTTTATGCCAGCAGTGAATCTCACTGGTCGGCTTTAATGGAAAGCAGCAGGCAGAAACCCCCAGGGTAAGCTGGGACAGCCCTCAGCATATGTATCAAAAGTGCATTTCAGCTGTTGCACTCTTTGACCCAGGCAGCTGTGAGCAGACTGGGGGGGATTAGAGCTGCTGGTCCCACAGACAGGGGCTGGGGGGCTTTACATGCTTCAACCCCCACCCGTCAAGTGAACAAATTCAGCACAACTGATGGACACTTTGTTTCGCCTTCATAATGAAAAGTAAAAGCTTCCTCTGCACCAGTTAAAAATAGTTGGGGCTGACTGTGCTCCCATTCAGCTCCTGCATCTGTGTTTGCCCAGCCGAGCGCCGGCTCCCGGCGCCTGTGTCCCCCAGCCTGGGAAAGGGATGACATTTGTGCAATATTAGAACTTTGTTCCTCAGCTCTTCCCAGGTACAGCTCTCTTTAGTGTTTCCCTTCTCTGTCTGCCTTGTTAAATGTAGTGGTGGCTTTCCCAATTGTCACCATGTCTTCTCACATCCCGTCACAGGGTGAACAATTTCTGTTTCCAAATATGCTCAGCTGAGCTGCCCCATGCTGGCTCCTAAACTGCAATGTGTGGTGTGTGCCAGCTTCATGGCACAGACAGTGAACATAACTCAGAGCATTATTCTTGAAGTTTTTGAAAAATAACAAATATAATAACAAAATAAATGTTTGGGAGCCTGGGTACATCCAAAGCAGGGGTTCTGTGATGGTGTCAAGTTGGGAAGAGCTTGGACAGAGAATGAAGGGTTGTCTGATGAGGCTTATACTGTAGTGAGGAGTCAGGAATCTCACTAGCTGCCATGTACTGGCATAAATTGTTGCTTAAAATACATCATGGATGTTTTGTGCAGTCAGAGAGGAGAGGTGGAAATGTTGAGATAGTCAGAGCAGAAGGCAGCTGGGATGAAAGTCTCATTCCAGGAGTTCATAGGTAGGGTCCTGCCTCCAGGTATTGGAACAGCTGCATGCAGGGTCAGCTTAGAAAGTAGTAGGCCAGAGGAAGTTTGGAATAAAGGAATCATGAAATTTTCTTTTTACAGCCAAATCTCATACTCTAAAAGTCTTTTGGAATCCTGCTCTTTACATATTTCTGGGGTGGACACTTTAAGGGAGACTATGGTGCTAGAAGTATGTGTAGTTGCAATGTATGATTTGTATTTGCAGCTCTGGCATGCTCAGCCAGAAAATCCCGATAGATGAATGTCTTTGCCTTATGTCACTCTACTCCAAGCAAGAGGTCCCTTCTGCAGGGTGTGCTTAAGCTGGCCATGGGGCAGGTGACCCAAAAGTGACCACTGACATTGTCTTCGGCTTGACCTCTTCTGTCTGCAGGGCTCCTTGCATGCAGGCAGCCTTGTCTGGGCTGCCCAAGGGGTGAAACAAGGAAAACTGACAGCCTTTTCCTACTTCCAGCAAATGTGTCTGATGATGCAAAAGAGAGCAAAGAGATGTGCAGAAACTTTTTCATGCACTGGGATGTGCCACCTGCCTTTTCCATCACTGTAAAATGCTTTTAACTTTTGGAAAGCCCCATGGCATGTGATGAAAAGAGGTCAGACCCAAGGCACATCTCCTTGAGTATAATACTTCCCTCATCCTGGGCCTGCTGCTTTTGCTGTAAGCTAATTCCAGCTGCATTTTTAAGCCCCTTGCAATCTGGGCTAAGAGCCAAATACTGCTTTCCATCGTTTTCCAATAACCCCACAATCTCATAAATTCACTTAGGCACTTGTTCTGGCTGTTTCAGAGTGCAATGATAGCTCCTGCTGTTGTTTCTTTAGGCACTTGCATTTTGGCCTCTGTGTTTGCAGAGGCAAATACTAATGGGGCTTCATCTTGACTTTTTCATCTTGTCTCAGCCCCTTAGTGATGTTTGCAGATCTCTTGCTTTAATCCAGCTTGTTGTTACAGAGGTTTCCACAAGCTTGTTTCTAAAACCAAGGGGTGATGCAGTACCTTGTGATTGAAATCTAGCCCCCTTGCAGAGTTTCACCATTTTAGTGCAAGTATAGGAGCTGTAATTTCTCCTCCTGGCCTTCTGCAGGGTTGTGTGATCTCATAAAGAGGACCTTGTTGCTTTGTTTGCACACAAGGGATTGCACAAGAAGTGACTTGAGGTCTGGTGTCAGTAAGGACAGTAGAAATCTCTAGCAGCACTTGTAGTTATCATTCAGAGGGGCTTGAACTGGTTTTGTCAGCAGGTTGGTAAGGAAATGTGTTCTTTTGGCCTGCCCCATTATCTGTGCAGGAGAGCTGCAAAATGACCCCATGCACGTCACAACAAGGGACTGGCCCAATTGTGAGCAACAGTGAGAGCACTGAGATAAAGTTCATGGAAATTAAGGAGTCTGATAACTTCAATTAAGCTCAGAGATTTCAGGAGGAGACTGTACCTTTTATTAAGCCTCTCTCCCTGCATTGACTCAAGCAGAAGGGCCACAACCATGCTGTTACCTCAATTGATTTAGATGAATGGACTTGTCTTCTGAGAGACCCCAGAGCTTTTTCTGGGTAATAATAGAGCTTTCATGAGAGTAGTCAGTGTCCCAAATAAAAAGCAAGGTAATTAGTGGGCTAGCCTGGCAGTCTACAAGCATCTGTTTAGCATCTTTGGGTTTGGATCTTCTCTGGTGGCACCATGGTTACTGTAACAGACTAATGACCTGACTGGGACACCTGGAAGAATTTGGAGCAGCAGAAAAGATAGCTAGATAAGAGAAGCAATGTAATTGCATAAATGGCCTTGCCATTACTGTGCAAAGCAAAAAATAAATTAAATTACATTCTTCCTCTGTGGAAGTAGAGGACATAGTTTCAGAATTATTTGTATTTTAGCAACTCCTGTGTGCATGTACTGGGAGCCACTGAGTTGGGTGAATCCCTGAGTCCATCTGTGGGCAGCAGCACATCTGCTGGTCCCAGCCTGTCTCTTCCCTGATGCTCTCAACCAGGTCAGTGCTAGAGGGTCTCCATCACTGACACTTCACAACACCACAAGGGGACAAGCCACAGAGAAATAGCCACTTGTACTAAAGCTCTTTGCCTACTAGAGAAGGGCTTGTTCACATGATGTTTGCTATGGGGACTTGTTTTCATCCATCTCTCAGGCAACATGCCCCCAGAGATGAAGAACAAAGAAGGAAAGTTGGGGAAGCCCCCATAATTTTTCAGGACAGCCTGATTTTGGAAGTGATTAAATAGTATCATGTCCTGGGAGAGCCTGAGCTGCCTTGGATGCATGGGCCAGAGGTCTTCCTGTGGTAGCTGTGATGGACATTGCTGATGCCAAAAGTGACTCTGCTCTGTGAGTCTTGCAAATCCTGGCTACTAGGAAAAACAAGCTGAAAACTGTGCTATCCAGGATAATTAATGTTATACACATAATTAAAATGAAAAAGTAGTATTTTTGTTCTCTTATTAAAGTTAAGAGCTTCTGTTCTTGCCGAGTTCTCTCTCTGCTCTGAGTTCTGGGAAATGAATTTAAAGACTGGAGAATGCTGGTCTTGGAGTCCAGAGTCAGCAGTTTTAGGAGAAGAAACAG